GTCGTCGTCGTCGTGGTGGTCGTGGTCGTGGTCGTGGTCGTGGTCGTGGTCGTGGTGGTGGTCGTGGCGTGGTCGTGGTGGTGGTGGTGGTGGTGGTGGTGGTGGTGGTGGTGGTGGTGGCGGCGGCGGTGGTGGTAGTAGTGGTGGTGGTTGTCCTTCAATTAAGGTACTACTTTGCACCAGGATCCATGGCTACTGCAAGGATCTGGAACCTGATCAACAAATTTGACACAGTACCACAGTAACCCAGGATTCATGGGTTTCGGGCTCAGGGAAGCAAAGTGCAGCCCTGGCACGTCGCACTCGATGCAATCCTTCAGTTCTGCTTGAGGAGTCTCCTCTTCAAGCCTGAGCTGTGCCAAGGAGAGAGAAACAAAGACACAGAGAGACGCAGAGAGACAGAATATCAAGCACGCGAAGAGCCTGTGGCCACAGTTCGCTGACCGATACAGAAATGGATGCGGTCTAGAAGGACGATACGATACGGTACGATACAAGTCAAGGCGCCATCGCATCTTCTTCGTTCCTTTACACCTGCTCTGATGCTCAGAAACTTCTACACGACAAGCCGGGAGCCCCGAGACTCTCTGAGAAGCACCTGCCTGTAGCATGTCAAGTATCCTTCGCCGTTGCAGTTGATGCCTGCAGGTGGAGCTCACAACGTCCGAAGACCCGCTTCTATATGGGTAGTTTTCTAAATTAGGGTCCCTTTTATCGTCCTTTTTATAAGGGTGCCGTACTATATTGGGGACCTAAAAAGGGACCCTAATTTAGAGAACTACCCATATGAACTCTGAAACCACGCAATCACACAACTGTCGGGTGGAGCAAGGAATTGAAAGCGGCTATCATCCACTTCCCTTTCTCTTCAGACCTAGGCTTCGGACAGTTCACGGAGCCCCCCTGGATTTGGAGTTGCTCCTCAGTGGCAGGCTCAGGCACTGCGATCCCCGAGCGGCTTTAACGTAACTCAGTGCATTCAAAGCACGGCGGCAGAAGGAGAGGGAAGGGAAAGCAGAAGGCCAGCCTGCGAAAGAAAAGGAATGAAGGTCAGCCATCAGCCGTCTGCTGTTCGATCCAGCCTGCAGCATCCCGCGGCGTTCTCCACCAAATACCCCGCCTTGGAACGCAAGGGTTTGATAATAGATGACACTTGCAGAAGTTCCACGACTTGCCTGGCTACACAGGCCTTCGGAAAGTCAACAGACACAGCATGCTACGCCGTCAGACACGGCTGCCACAGAGCTGCAGATGCCACAGCTTGCGACTTCGCTGCTGTCGTCCTCAGCCTAGCACCACATTTGCCAAAATCAGGAAGTGAGCCACTTTATGTACAATGATAAAAGCTACATGCTGTATCGGTATCTGCAGATGCATGCATGCATATGCAAATGCATAGCTGCATAGTATTCAAGCATACGGCCACACCCGCATCCCACTCGATGCTCGTGCACTTAGCACATACATGCTCTTGAACTGCTCTTGGCACCTGCTTATCGCTCTGTACATGGTGTTCCTGTGCATGCACACGAAGCTCGAGAGTGTGCGATGCTCCCAAGTGCCTCCAGTGCCATAGACCGTGTCCTATCTCTCCTGCAGTTCCGGCGACCTGAGGAGGCACAACAAACGCCAACGCGCGGGCCCACGAAGGCTGAGGACTTCCGGAGAGAGCTCGGCTCCGTGCGGTGGCTCGTGAGGGCTGCAGATGCCAGCGCTCCAAGGCAAAGGCCTCCGAGAGGCCTGTGAAGATCTCTAGTACGGCGGTCAACTCACAAAACGCTCCGACAAATTGAGAGCGGCTGTCCCTTCCCTTTCGATTTGCTGGAACAAGACCCTTCCTTTCGGCCGTCCGAGTTTAGCCTTGCCTATCGGTGTCAAATGGCTTGCTGCAGCACATCATGCATGGACTTGGTCGGCGGGCTTGTGTAGACACAGCAGTGCAAGGACGAGAAGGTGGGAGTACACATGTAAGATGGGACAGGCTTACAGTAGGAGCAGGCGCGACCACCGCAAGACCCGCCTGCTTGCATTAGAGTACCTTGAAGAAGCCGTGCCAGGCACCGCCAGCTGCAGCACTCCCAACTGCGACACTGACAACGTGGGTTTGTACCTTGGGCAACGCCAGCAGCAGGATGTTCACTGGGTGGAAATGGTATGATATGAAGCACCACTCACGACCATGTGGCTGCCGGAGCCTGTGGACTTCCGGGGCACACCTGGCACAAAAACTGTACACGGGCAGTACAGGTGTTGCCTTTTGGTGTCCTCATGTATCCTCCCTGGATGCATGCATGAAAATTTACTACAAGAAGCCGCCTGACATCCGCTACGAGCGCCATGGCTTTCCAGGCTGCACCCGATGTTGCTAAAATTAGGCTAACGAAACATCTCAAAACAACTTTCCAAGCTCTGGAATGACAGATAAGGTGCGCGCAATTTGCCATGTGAGGCACTGTGAGCCGATCGAGACAAAAATCACGCTAGGTCTGTAAAGATGGAAGGCACGGAGCAGGTATCTTGAGGCCATGGACCTTCTTCACTTCCTTTCGGCGATGTTTGCCCTTGCCACCTTTGCCCTTCCTGCGAGGCAGCAACGGGCAGTATGCCTGACTTCAGCAGGCAAAACACGTGAGAGAAAACCACAGGATGTAGATAGAAACACAGCAATGAAAGTGACCTTTTCTCCCCAATCCTCTCCGTCCAGTCCCAACCTTTGCCACTGTAGACGACCAGCATCTGAGGTCAGAAGGGATGCGAGAGACGAGGGCTTGAGATCTGCAGCTGCATCGCTTAAGACTTGCACCTCCTTACCGGAAGGTGCTTGCAGGAACTTCGGAGAGACAGTCTTTAACCAAGGACAACGCCTGGCCCTGAGTCCCACTGACGTTCAAAGCGGCCAGCAGCGGCGACCTTGCAAGAAATGACAAGGTGAAAACCAAGTTCAACTTGACAAGGCCTTCTGAGATTGGCGCTTGCGGCACGGTGGACCGCGTGCTACCGGAGCATTGTCCTGGAGAGGCGATGCACGACCGTGCATCGTCGATTTTTCAAGGCGTCGCCTGCTGTTCATCTTGTTCCGCAGAATTTGTCGCAGAAGTTAGGTACAAAGGTATGAACCTCACAACGTCAGAAACACAAAAAGCACACTGCTGCTCTGGCTCTGCTTGCATGCCAAGATGCGCCACAATGATGCGTCGCAGCGGTAACATCTTGCTCACAATATACACAGAACAGAAACGAGAAAAACCTGTACAACACGACGAACAACATGTAGCCAGGCTTTTGTAACCTCTACATACCTTTGAAAAATGCTCTGGACTCCATGTGTCAACCTTGGGGCAGTTGCAAATATTTGCAAGCAAACCACCGTTTTTACATTACTACCACTTCTGCTGCGACTACTCTTGGCGCCACAGATGGAAAGCGAAACACCAGCTGGACAACACCTTCTCGTCCGAGCCAAATGGCCACTGCCACCGTGGAATGCTCACCGTCTCTCGTGTTTTTGCAACTGTTTCGGCACGGCGGGCGTCATCGCGACAATGACAAATTGCTACGCAGTCGAAGCTTAAGTCGAGAGTCTTACATGCGTGAAGAGCAAGCTTGGCGCAGAGCGCTGCAATGCATTGCTAGCTTTCACCCATGCAGTTGCTCGTTGCCTTCTCTGCAATCAGTGAGCTGGTCAAGTTCATTCGCCGGACAAAACAGCAAAATGCTGCAACTCGCTTTTGCAAGTGCGCGTGGAATGTTCTCAATCGCGTTACCTCCTGGCTGCTGTCAATGGCCGCCCTAAAACTAAAAGCTTAAAACACTACGTAAAACTGGAGCAGCTCGGGGGACAGGCTTGCCGTCTCAATCCCGAGGAAGAGTTCGAAGCGCAGCCACAAGTCTCCGGGCAAAACAAGGCGAACTTAGGTATTCCCCGAGCCTCCACGCACCAGTCTCGATCAAACCCCGGGTGCCACAGCAGGGGGTGGTTGATGGCTGCACAGCCAGCTGCCATGAACAAGTCCTTCACGGCTGTGTAGTAAACCTCCAGCCTCTTCGACAAGCGTCCCATGTATGCCAAATTGATGGACCACTCGCGGTTCCATGCCGGGTCAGCCCGCAGAGACTCGGCGCTGCGATCTTGGCACGAGATGTTTTGAAGAGACTCCTGGAACGTTGAAGTGGCTTCACATGCAGGCCGCGGGCAGCCGTCCTGCGCGTCTAGCAAGAGCTGGCCCGACATGGGGTCGTTGCAGCCGCAGGTCTCTGGGCAAACGAGCCGAGCGTTGAACTGCTCCGGTCCGTCGCAGAAGGGCGCCAGTTCCGTGCAAGAGCTCGGCTTCTTGCCCATCTGCAGCAACATGGACTGGCCTGTAATGATCAGCTCGTTGAATCGCTGGACATCCGTGCACGTATTTTGACCGAGTTCTGGGCCTGCCTGAGATGCAGGGTTCGTCATGCGATTGAGGAAGTCGCCCAAGCTGCCAGAGGCAACCATCCGGGGTTCATCGACGAGCTGAGGCATCCGAACCAAGCTCGCCACCAAATCCCGCACCCCATCGGAGCGAAGCCGTGCCTGTGCTGCACCCCCGAAGTCCACGCCCGCATCCACGCCCCCGTCATCTAGCTCCCGGATCTCCACTGCATAACTTGTATCGATCGCAGTACCCAGGCCAACCACAAAATTCTTCCGACCGCCACACATCTCCTCCTCAATGGCGCGCATGTGAGAAAGGGTGTCGTTCAGATTCGTCCCTGCGACGACCAGCAGCACCGTGCAGACGACGACCGTAATTCCCGCACGCATGTATGAGCCCCAACGAGTGCTTTCCAACAAGGGTAGCGGCTCGATTACGTCCTTCACTGCCTTCACGCCTTTAGGCACCAAGGTGTCGTAGAAAAGTTCATCCGTCTCCAGGATGAAACCCAAGGCAACTGCGTTCAACACAACCTCTTGGATGGAGCCGGTGTTCAGAAGGAAAAGAGTGCCCACGGCCCCCAGGGTGACTGCGACAGCGAACCTGACGACAATCACGGCAACCACAAAGATCTTGCGGGAAAGGCTAATCGAGGTCAGCCGGAAGGAGCCTGAGTCGGTCGGTGTCAAACGGGTGGTACGGGTTGGAAGAGAGATGCATCCCTCGCCAAAGCACACTGCGCTCCAGAGCTCGCGCAGAATCTGGAGCCACCACACTGTGAGACAAAGAAGGCAGAGAATAGCACCCATGCTTCCGACGTTCATGATGGGAAGCCCCGCACTGTACAGCCTGATCTCCGAGATGATGCTCTCCTGCGCTGTGGCATAGGACAGAGTGGCATCCCCAGCACACATGCGGCTTGCCAGGGATGTGGCACCCAACTGGTCCATGAAGTTCCAATCGTGAGCGATGGTCTCGCGCCACCTCTTCGAGTCCTCAACTGATGGATACGGGATGATACGGGTTATTCAAAAAGGAGTTGCCGATGATCACGCAGAAGAGCGTTTGAACGATGACGTTCACGAGGAAGCCAAGCACGACGAGTGCCTGTGAACCTGGCCCGATGCCGCCCGTGCCCACAAGCAGGATTGCCTCGTGCACGGTGTCAGCGATGGTGTGAGAACTTGTGCCGATTAAGACCTGGAGGTCGTCTTTGGTAACGGTGGCACTGCTCTGCCGTGACTCAATCTCATTGTGGTGCAGGTTTTCCTCGTCACTCACTGGAACGCCGGCCTCCTCCAAAACCTTGTCATGTCGCTTCGAGAGCTGTGACTCTGACTCCACACACCGATTCTCGAGCTCCTGCATCCGGAGCTCGAGGCTGGCCATGCGCGCTTCAATGGCCTCCATTTGATGGCGGTCGGAACAGGGCGCGACCGGCGCAACTCTGACGTCCCTGCTTTGAGACCACGGCCTGCGACTAACACACGCTGGGATTCCACAAAGTTGTTTTAATGCTGGGACGAGGGGGGCACACACGTAGCATTGTAGTGTGGCTTGTACATGCAGTGAATGAACGAAATGCCTCGTTCTCTGCCCTGTTCAGAACCACTGTGGCCTATCCTAGTCACACCTCAAGTCTTCAACCCTCCCATTGAGCAGTGAAGCGAAGGGCGCAAGAAGCCGAAGCTTTTTTTCTTGCTGGAAAATCGATGTCTTGTCTGTGGGGCAAGCGAAATCTCACACAACTCCTTCCAGCAAAAGCCACTAGCCGGACTTGTCTGTGAAGACCTGTCAAGTGCCAGCAAAGAGACACTCAATGGATTCGATAGGCCCCACGGGGCCCAGGCCCCAGCAAGAGCTTTTCGTGCTCGGGCCATGCCCTGAACCTCGACAATCTGCTTCTCCAGCACCTGAAGACGACTGCGTCCCCAGAAACTGAAGGCCCGGGCCACCCGGAACCTCCAAGCGCTTCGTCAGGTCCCAGTCCTCGTTCCTGAAGAAGTCGATCCTCCTGGAAACATGGCAGCTTGTCGAGTACTTCTCTCTCCTGTTTCTGACCCCAGACGTCTCAAACTGCTCGCGAATCTACCTGGTAGTTTCGTTGAGAGCGCTCCCCACTCACCGGTCCTTTCCAGTGAAAGGAAGCTCAGCGCTGCATAAGCCACCGCCAGGGATGGGCACACCTCGAAAAGCTCTACACGCCGTGCGTCGCAGAATCGGCCCCGTATCGCTCGCTTCCGCCGCTTCCGCCCACTTCCGCTTGCAGACGAGCCACGGCCGCCTCCGCGGATTGGGGCGTCGTGCAGACCGGGACCCCTGACAGCAGCGAAGCGAAGCGAAGCGAAGCGACAGCTAAGCGACAGCGGGGGACTGCCGGGGGGGGGGGGCGCTTTTTTTTCTTACGACTCCCGCGCCTTGCAGCGTTCGCGTGACGTCCTCGAGGCGCTGCTGCCAGGCATCGGCCGTCAGCTGGCCGAGGCTCTCGGCCACCTCCTCCCGCTCGTGCGTCCACATCACAGGTCCCTCCTGCCACGGCAAAAAACGGGGACACGGCACGCCCGCGACGCACAGCTCACACAGGCAGAAGGTGGCAAGCATCCTCAGACTTCGAGTCTTCTGCTTCCCCGTCAGCCTCCTTTCCGCGTCAGCTGGGGGGCACGGCAGGCAAGTCTGCAAATCCACACACAGCGGCTATCTCCTCAAGCTACTCTCAAAGTAATTGGCGGGAATCTGGGAACCAAGAGAAAAGCGTCAGAAAGTCAGATCAGAATCCTATGCAGCTGTCATCCGGAACCGAAGACAAGGCGGCGCCTTCTCGGGTTCAGGCCCAAGATTCATGTTCGCCTCGGCTGAAAGGCTAAGGGCTTAAACCAACCCGGCGGCGGAATTCGACGAGGCGCCATCACTTCGGAGAGGCGCCCTGCGACGACGGCGGCGGTGCGCCCGCCATCGCCTGCATCCGCGTCGACGTCCAGGAGGTCCTCGGCGCATCTGCGACAGCAAACGCAGGCGAGTCGAGGTGGCTCCTTGAACCCCCTTATAGATCCCCTTATAGATCCCTTGAAGGGAACCCTAAACCCCTTATAGATCGCCTTATAGATGATCCCTTTGAAAAAACGCCCCGTCATCGCCTGAGGCAGCACTGCCTCTGGGAGCTCCTGCAACGGCGTCCCCGGGCCCACTTTTGCACGAAGCCTCTGCCGCCAAACAAGGCCCACTCTCCTCCACCAGGGCCAACCCCCAGTGGTTCGGCGAAGTCACCTGGGACGTGCTGCAAAGCACGACGGCCAACACACAAACATACCTTGCCTGCTCAGTGAGACCACGCAAGCTGCAGCGGCCGACACAACGAACCTGCACCTGTGCAAGCGGCACCTATGAAATCAGACGGTATGACGTGCAGTTACGCCCAAGCACAACTCAGCATAACACTTTCCGCCCGTGCGTTCCCAGGTCGTCGCAGGCAACAATTTCAACGAGGGAGGCGACCTGCCAAAACAATACGTGGCCGCCATGGCCGAAGATGCAGAAGCAACACTGCTCAGCTGGCGGCCGGAACAATTTGGGAGTCGTCCTTAGGGAGTTTTCATTCAACAGAGATCAGCAGACAACTGGACCCTCTTCACAACAGGTTGAAGGCCAGGCTCCACATACAACATACAGAAGATCCCACAGAAGTCTTTCCTGACTGCATCGATCATTCTCGCCCAACCTCACGTTGCATCACAATCCGTCAAAAGGCGTCATCAACTGCTGGAGCCCTCGTCCGTCTCTTTTCTGCTGGCTGAGCCACGAGGTTCGAAGAGGTGCATCCGCTTTGTACGACCCGGAAGCAGCAAGTCGCTGATCCCAAACAGGATCACCGGCCTCAGAAAAGTGCAGACGCTGTCGCCCGTGGAAGGATGCGGGGCCCTTCCGCGGCGCCCAATGCTTCAGCCGAGTCGCACTTTCACCTCCTCATGGCAGCTCCGACATGTTGCAAGATGGTTCCTGAAGCCACGAAGAACCGGGCCTTGTCCGTCGTGTGCGTTTGCCGCCAACTGCTCAGACCGAGAGCAGCTGCTTTCCTGAGCAGACCGTCAGCTGTCACCACACTCTGACTCCAGACACTTCGAGTCTTCACAGACCCAGACTTCGCTTCATCTGGCGCTCCACCATCACCGTCAGACCTGCTCTCTGACAGCGCCCGCCGCCGAGCCGCCGAGGATCGGTGACATCCAACCTCCAGCCGCAGGGCTGCCAGGGAACACAAAAGCTTAAGAAAATGAGTTGATACACATGAGGTCCGAACCCCTGCCACAACGCACGCGGCCACAATTGAGCCGTGCGAGCCTGCAGCCAGAAACACTTTTCTCGTTCCAAGATGAGCACCAACACCATGATTCATGTTGCAGCTGCATGACTTGCCTCGTTGGTTTTTCCATCGGAGGTTTGCCGGAGACCTCGAATCTAAAGCTTCACTCAAGCACGTACACAGTGCATCTATGAGCTTGGAAAGCAAAGAGCATGCGCACCCGAAGAACTTCCGAGGCTGCTCCAAAGTCCATGTGTGTGTATATATATATATATATATAGATTATATTATATTATATTATATTATATTATATTATATTATATTATATTTTATTTTATTATATTATATTATATTATATTATATTATATTAT